AATAATGTAGCCATTGTCAAAATCCTGTCAAGGCATTGCTCTCTGTACCCCCCCCCCAAACTCTTTGTAATAGTTTTGGACCTAATTTTTCTCATTTATAAAATCAAAACATGTCTTAAGCACCTGCTGTGTGCCAAGTAATGTCTTGGGCACTGGAGATCCAGTGGTTAAAAAGGGGGGGGGGGAGTGAGTGAGTGAGTGAGAGAGAAATTTTCTACCTCATATTCTGCTGCTTCTACTGATGCCAATGCTGATGCTTGCTAGGCTTATAGCTATTTCCCATATGCCAAACATTCTGTAAGCACCTTATAATATGAACTCAGTCAATTCTCATGACAATCCTGTGAGGTAAGAATCATTACTAACTGCATTTCACAGATGAGGAAACTAAAGCACAAATGGATTCAGCAACTTGTTTAAGACCATGTTACTGGTAAAGGTAATTGACTCAGGAATCAAAGTCAGGCAGATTGGTTCTAGAACATTCACTTTCATCTACAATGTCATATATATTTCTGTTATATGTTGCGTGGCACTAACTTGCCACACGTTTGTTTTCCATGCTTATCTGTAATCTCGTAGTGAAGGACTATATTTCTCTAGCCTTAAGGCTTACTTCAATGTCTGGTTCATAGGAAGTAGGGCTCAAGAAACATTGATGAACTATATGAGGGCACTTCAAAAGTTTATAGAAAAGGGACCAGCTGTTGGCATAATGGCTGTGTGGCTGGACTCCCACATAGTCAACTGCAGTTCAGACCTAGATCTGGTGGCTTCAACTCACACCAGGGGCATCTGAGTGTATACCCAAGATCCTGAGAGGAGAAGGAAGGAGAAAGGATTGCAGCGTGGCCATCCCCCTGGGGCGGGGGATAATTTCTCACTTTCTGTCTCTCCATCTCTCTCTCTATCTTTCTGGTTTATCTTTCCATAAACAAAAAAGTTTATGGAAAAAATGGAAATAAAATATGAGTTTTTATGGTTCAAAATCTTTTGAAAGTTATATACAATTTCTTCATAATATGCATTTTCCAATGAACTTTTTGAGACCCCTCATATTGTCATCCCCAGTTTCCTGTGGTCACCAATACCTAAGACCAAGTTATCTAATAAAGGAAAGAACACCGCGGTAAGTGCTGAACTCATTCACTTAATTGTGTGAGATAATAGAAGTTAAACCTTCATCCTCTTAACTGCTAATTTCTTAAAATATATATGACATACTGTAATTTTTCTAACCACTCTTAAGTGCACAGTTCAGTAGTACATTCATGCTGTTGTGCGACTGTGTCCAGAATTTTTCATCTTCCCAAACTGAAATCTCCAACAGTAACTCCCCTTTCCCTTCCTCTTCCCAAGCCCAGACAACCACCCCTTAGCTTTCGGTCTTCGTGAATGTAACTACTCTAGGTACTTCATGTGAGTCGGCTCGCCTAGTACTTGTCCAGTTGTTACTGGCTTATTTCACTTAGCGTAATGTCTTTCAGGTCTATCCATGTTGCAGCATGTGTCAAAATATCCTTCCTTTTTCAGTCTAAATGATATCCCTTTTATATCTATTCTACATTTTAGTTATCCATCCATACACCAATGAATGCTTTAGCTGCTACTGTGAATAATGCTATGAACATGGGTGTACAAATATTGGCTCAAGTTCCTGCTTTCAGTTATTTTGGATATATACTCAGAAGTGGCATTACTGGATTGATGGTAAGTCTATCTCTAATTTTTGAGGAATCACTATACCATCTTCCACCGAAATTGCACCAATTTACATTCCCAGCAGCAATACACAAAGGTTTCCAATTTCTCTATATTCTTTCCAACACTTGTTATTTTCTGCTTTATTTGTTTGCTTTTTATAATAGCTGTCCTAATGAATATGAAGTGGTATCTAATTGTGAACTTAACATTTTTTTATTTTGCAATTTCATTTCTAATTTTATTCAAAATGTTACCCTTATACATTCAAAAACTTAATAATGAGATACTGTTTCAATAAGAAATAGTACAATTTCACTTGCAACTTTTCAGATCCATAATTTTTTTGAATTTTCTTATTTTTTTTAAATTTTACAAAATGAATCTTCTCAGCGTGAATGCACTGCATATTAGTCCCAAAGCTGTAATTCTAATACACATGGGATCCAAGCAATCAGCAAATAGCAAGAATAGAGACTGTTTTAAACATCAGACAATTGAAAGAGTATATTAAAATGTAAACCGAAGTGATTTGCTTTACAAAAGTTCTTTTTTTGTTGTTTATTTTTTGGAGAGGATTTTTGCTATAGGGTGCATACGCTAGCCAGAAAGACAGAGAGAGACAGAGAGATAGAGAGAAATCACTCTCCGGGGGGGATGGCCACACCACAATCCCTTCTCCTCCATTCTCCTCTTGGGATTTCGGTCTTCGTGAATGTAACTACTCTAGGTACTTCATGTGAGTCGGCTCGCCTAGTACT